GAGGGAAGGAAATTTTTTTTTGTTTCTCTTTGGATCGCTGAACTAATTTTTCGAATTTCTTAGTTAGCTCGAAATGATTTCAGGCACGAATCGAAGTATTTTATATTCTAATATTTTGCGTATCTTTCCAACTCCTCTTCACGAAAAAGAGAGAACGATCGTTGGATTCGTTTCTTGTCCCGTCAGAAGGGAGGAGGGAAGGAGATTTTTTTTTACTTCTCTTTGGATCTTTGGCCGAGTCGATCGCTGAACTAATTTTTCGAATTTCTTAGCTTCGAAATGATTTCACCAGACTTTTGCTATGAATGGATTTGTGGGTTACTTTAAGATGAAGAACTCTAAATTAACTCGTGTGAAATTCTTTTTTTAGATATTCTAAGAAATTCAAAAAAATTTTCTAAATATATAATATAAAAAACAACATCACATTTGGAATCAAGAATTTTTCCTCTGCTAGAAGTGATCACACTGAAGAATGATGTTCTTCTGATAAAATTTGACAAATAATTCCAGATATTACGAAGGAAGTCTCCCTACATATCTCATGAATTTCTCTTTTCAAACGATTCCAAAGCGCGCGAATGAATCGTGGATTTAAAATAAAATAAATTCATTCACCGAACGAACGAGAATCGAACGAGGAGGGACAGGAAAGCAATCTGGATCCTGGAACCAGGATTTTCTGTAACACGCGAGTTACATGGGGAAGGAGTGAGGGAGAAAGGGGGTGGAAAAAGTTTTTCCAGGGTGCGGCACACGATAGCGCATTTGTCACGATTTAAATCGGGGGATAACCCGCGTTTCGTTTCAAAATCGATAATAGGTATTATCCCTCTAATGGGGATACACGCTCCTTCCAGTTTCCACGGACTCCTCTTTCTCTCTTTCTCTCTCTCTCTTCGTCTTTGCCTCTTTTGCTAGGACGGATCCACGTCTCTGCAACGAGATATCGCGTTGAATTCGCAGGTAGGAAATGGTTTCTCATGATGAATCGAAGATTGATCTTTCTTTTTCTTTGATGGGTGTTTGTTTGTTTCTTTTTTTTTTTTTTGGTTATTGCGACGTAGTTCGATTAAAAACTCTGACGAAAGTTTTTGAAGGAAAATTTTTATTTTGATTCGAATTTCGTGGAAATTCGTAGAAATATTGTTTCATCTTTTTTTCTGTCGTTCCATTTTGATATCAAAGTGAAGAAGTATGTATGGCATTGATTTGAATCGAGAAAGATACAATAAGAAAATATTGATACGTTTTTACTTTCAAAACATCGATTTTTAAAAATTAGAATAAGTATAAAGTTGATATAGCTCTTCATCTAAGCTCAATTACTTGTAATGACTGATATTTTTATATTTTGCTTTGACTTCTAAAATCGACTCTTCCGTGTATATTCAAGTAAAATATCTATTTCAATCAGATACCTCCAATTTGAATCAAAAAATCACTTTCCTTCAATCTTTCTCAAAATTTCTAAAAACTCAACAAAAAGATAGCCATTTTGGTATCGAAGCGGATTCCACGATGTATAATCTTATTAAGTACAATATCCATTTCAATCAAACTCTTTCAACTTGAATCCTTTCTCCCAAAATAACTGCGAATTCTCGAAAGACTTAAAAAAGAGGTAGCCATTTTGGTATCAAAATGATTAGACGTATATATCAATTTTTATACTTTGCTTTGATTTTTACAGTCGACTCTTTAAACCATTGTCTCATACATTCCTCGAATAACTGCGAATTCTCGAATTAAGACTCAAAAAAAAGGTAACTATTTTAGTATCAGAATGAATTCGAGATATATATCAATTTTTATACTTTGATTTCTACAATCGACTCTTTAAACCATTATCTCATATATTCCTCGAATAACTGAGAATTCTAGAATTAAGACTCAAAAAATAGGTAGCCATTTTGATATCAAAATGAATTCGACGTATATACTTTGCATTAATTTCTAAAATTAAAACTATATATCTCATATAATAGCTCACAAAATAGCTGTCAATTCTCGAATTAAAACTCAAAAAAGAGGTAGCCATTTTGGTATCAAAATGAATTCGACATATATCAATTTTTATACTTTGATTTTTAAAATCGATGTTGTTTACACCATATTTCTCATATATTTCTTACAAAATTACTACGAATTCTCGAATTAAGATAGAAAGTCAAAAAAGGGATAGCCATTTTGGTATCAAAATGAATTCGACATATATATCAATTTTTATATTTTGATTTCTTACAAAATAACTGCGAATTCTCGAATTAAAACTCAAAAAAGAGGTAAAAACGACTCTTCAAATCATTCATTTCATATATTTCTCACAAAATAACTGCCAATTCTCGAATTAAGACTCCCTTCAAACTCAAAAAATCAAAAAAAAAAAAAAAAATCGATTTCCCTTAACCGATTATTTAATTCTCGATAAATACTCAAAATAGATAGAGATAGCCTGATATTTTGTTATCGAGGCGCGTTGCGATATAAATCTGGACGTAACACGGTCCTTTCCCGGCCGTGGCCCCAAGCGGCTCATGGCGGCCCGCGAGGAAATTGCGGAGAAAGCGCGCGGTAATGCAGACATTTCCGTCGCGCAGCGGAACCGGAACGCCCGTATTTTTCGCCCGGGAAAAACGAGAAAGCCCCGGCTCGCGCGCACGAACCTGTAATAGACGCGAGGGACGGGGGAGCAGCAGCAGCAGCAGTTTCGCCGCCTTCAACGGGACCAATTTCACGAGGCGAAAAGTGCACGGATAACGCGAGGGATCCCGGCGTCGATATTCGTCGCTGCTGTTCGTGGTTGGAGGATTTTAAATATTCTTTTCCTCCTTCTTCTTCTTCTTCTTCTTGTTTGCCTTCTATTATTTGGTTTTCGTTCGTTCTATGTTATAATTGTGTACTCTGCAGGATTTGGTTTACTTATTGCAAATGCTCGTTGCGAATGTTGACATTTTTTTTTTTGAATAGCGTCATAAATTTCAGATCGAATTAAAAATTACTTTATGTAATTTATATAATTTATATAATTTTGTACTTTATGTACTTAAATGTAATGATTGATAGATTAGATTAGAAGATTAATGTAGGAAAAAATATTTTAATTTATATTTCTTGGATAATTTGTTGGACGCATCGTCGAAGAAAGAAATTTCTTTTTTCTTTTTTTTTTTTTTTTGTTCCCCCCCTCCAAGTCTCTTCGAGCAATTCTTACGAGACTTTCCAACCGTCACAAATCATTTCGATACACGGAAGAGGTTGGCGGGAAACGGGCAACGGTAGATGGATTAGAAAAATCTAAGAGTCCATTATCGGTCTCCTTATATTAGATACACTCGGTCCATAAGTTCTCGGAAACGGGAAATGGAAGTTTCAACCGTCGCTTCGAACTTCCACGAAAGCGATTCTTTAAGCCGCGCACAAAGAATTCGTAGAATCTTTCTTCGATCGATCTTTCCGCGTCCTACCTCTTCCTCGAAACTTACCTCCACTGTTTCTAATTAACTCGCGCGCGTTTATAATGAGGCGCGTGTCCTCCTCGAATTCAACAACAAACTTTACCCCGATTATTCCTCCGCGTGTAATTCACCAATTATAATTAATTTTTTTGAAAAAAAAAAAAAAAAAAAATACAAATTCACCTCGATGAAAGAAAAGTGAAGAGACCAATCGTTGAATACGGTTTCACCGTTTAAAAAGAAAATAATAATAATAATAATAATAAATAATTTCACGAGAAAGTATATCCTCGTATCAGAAATCAGGGCCGAACAATACACGGACAACAATATATAATTTATAAAGCTTCGAACAACAACAATATATATATTCGTCCCATATTCGTAAAACTTGTTGAAATTGCTCGCTTTCCTCGCATTCGTCCGAGAAAAATACCCGGTTAATGATAATCTCGATACGCTACCGTAAGAAGGGACACACTTTCGACGCGAGAAAGTAAAAAAAAAAAAAAAAAAAAAATAGAGTCGAAGGATGCACCGATTTTCCCCTTTACCTCGAGAAGGAAACACAATCGAGACACCGATATCCCGCGAAACGACCACGTTGGTTATTAAAGCGGACGTAAATCTTGGCGGACTTTCATTCCTTTCATACCGTTCCGTTTCATCAACCTGTGTCCCTCCACTCGCCATTTTCGCGTTTCTCCCTGTGCGTCCACGCGTCACTCTTCGAAACCTGTCTCTCTCTTTTTCTCTCTTTCTCTATACTCTTCATTAGACCTCGAAGAATTTTCACGATTGATTTTTTCTTTTTATATATTTTATTTAAATTGGATGTAATAATTTTGGATGCCTTTTTTTTATATTTTATTTTATTTAAATCGGGCGTAACAAGATGTGACGTTTCGAATTAATTATTATTAT